TTATAGCTCATGAAATCATATAGTTTGGATTTCATGAAATTATTTACCATGATTTGAAATGACTAGTGATGCCTAATTATCATGTGTTATAGCTCATAAAATTATGAATTTTATTCTCTATAAAATTATTTACTTACAAGTTGAAACGACTAAAAAATATGTGTTATAGCTCATAAAATTGTGAATTTTAGGCTGAGTGAAATTATTTCCCAACCGATAGAAATGAAAAAAAGGGCAACAAATCATGGGTTATAGCTCATGAAGTTGTAAATTTTAATCTTTGTGGAATTATTGTCCAACTTGTCAAAACACCTAAAAATAGCAAAAAATCCTAGGTTATAGCTTTTAAAATTGAGAATTTTAGCCTCTGTAAAATTATTTGCTAATAGCCCGAAACGACTAAAAATAGAAAAAAAAATCACAAGTTGTTGCTCATAAAACTCAGAAGTTTGAACCCTCATGCTAAATTATTTACTAAGGGCTCAAAATGCCTCAAGATGTCCAATAACCGTGGGTTATATAGCTCAAGATGCCTCAAAATGCCTCAAAATAGCCAAAACTTGTAGGTTAAAATTGGTCGACCGAACCACGTAAATCTCGGTGTTCTTTCTTCTTGATTGCGGTTGTTTTCTATCTTATTGATTGTGGGTTGGCTTGCTAGCTAGTTGCAGAGATCGTAGTACGCAAAAGGCTAAAATTCCCTAACAATGTTCCCATATTGCCCATATGATACAGTCAATCAGTAGAATATCAGTGAAAAGTATCACAAGTTTATCTGAAAATGCAATTAAAGTTCATATCTATTATGGTTGACAGCGCTGGTGAAATTTTTTTTCCCTCGTGCTAAGAATACTGTTACTATGTTCAGATATTCAATGGTGGCATTTGAACGTTGGTCAATGTCGTCAACTGAAGCTATAGGACACACAAACTTTTGATCTAGTTACAAAGTTCTCTGCACGTTTGTTCCAATAAATTGTATATATATGCACATGATACAATGGCACCAAACTTTATGTTGAAGCATAGGTTTATTCCTTGTGAGTAGGTATATATAAACCTTTGATTGTTTGTTATTGGTTCATGCATGACTCACCTACTAAATACCATGGTATCTCTTGTAGGACAATGGCAAAGGACAAGGTGAAGAAGAGAAGTTTTCTTGAAATTTTTGTAGCTTTATGTTCCTCTTGTAAATGCACTGATGTAATGATGACGGAATTATTCAACCTTCAGTAAAAGTAGTTGGCATGAACTTTTTTGCTGTATTAATTATTCAAACCCTTTGGTCCAAAATTGGCGTCTCTCTTAACACGAGGCAATGAAGGATAAATGACATTCTTGATCGGCGTCAGGTGTACATGATGCTCTTCTCTCAACACAATTGGAAATGGATATGTACCGAGATTGCAGTCAGAGGCTTTCAGGAAAAGTAACAGCTCTCACCTAAATATTTACCAGTATTATGACTTTTGTTTACACATCTAATTGAGAGTGCAAATTGGTTATAATAAAAATAAAGGATAGTGTTCTGTATTTGTTCTCATAATTGTAAGAGATGATAGCTGAAGACCCTCTCGTGCACAAGAAACCCAAATGGTCAATTACAATGATACAGAAGAATTAACCAAATCCGCATTAATTAAGGCACCCTTTACCATTATTTCAAATTAAAATTTGCACCTTTTTGGATGCTTTAATTAGCTCCTTTATTCAAAAGTCAATAAATCATTGAGAATGAGATAAATTTACTACAAAAAGCACCTGGATGCCTGAACATATCTTGATCATTGTCTACGATATGTAAGGTCCTCGATGTTAAATGATTAGAACACCAAGCTAATTACATTTTTACACTTTACAGGGGTAAAATATTGGTTAGTTGTTAGGAATCGAAACTCCCACAAGTGAGTGAGAAAATAAGAGAAAGATAAATAAGCAATTACAGAAGACAGATATTTTTACATGGTTTGGCAATTTGCCTACGCCCACGGCCGCACTAGTGTTTCTTTCTTTCTCAGCTACAATTACTGGAGAGAGCGCTCATATATATAGGTAGAAACAAGGATTACATGCTATATATATATGTAGAATTACAGATCTACACTTCTACTTAATATATAATTTTCAAGGGGTCAGCCTGCACAGTCCAATCTGCAGGCATCACAACTCCAACATCAATTGTGGATTGACACCGTACTTAAAGCCTGAGATCAAATTCTGAGCTTCAAATGTAGAGTAGCCCATTTCTCACCTAGCATTCTGAAGCACCCAGCACCAAACCCTTTGGTCCTTGATCGATGAAACATTTTGCAAACTCAAAAATCACAAAAACATAAAATAAAGGAATCCAAAAATATTGTTTCTCACAGTAGTCTATCGTCTCTCCATCTCAGTTTATAGCTAAAATCCTTGTCAGATACATTGAACATACATGATGGCAGATACTTTGTCAAAGGGATGTATCTAGAGTCTAAGATTGGAAACCTTCTCGCTGTATAATCATCATGAAATCCTATAGATATCTATTCATGAATCCTAAGATTGGAAACTGTCATATACTCTATATGCATGAAATCCTATAAGATATCTGCTCGTGATGAACTAAAGTCATGTACGTGTATGTACACTGTACCGTAGAATTTCCATTAAATCAAATAGCTAATTCCACAATGTATTATCAAGCTTTACCATGAATATTGGATTACGAAATTATCGTTTCAAATTAAAATCTTCAATTCCTATAAAAGAATGCTAAAATATGCAAATTGCACAAACTCTAGGTTGTATGAGAAAATTTTTAGAGGGTCCTTAGAGAAATTTTTTGAAGGTGGTAAATAAATTAAAGGAGGTTAAGGGGCCGGGTCTAATTATATGGGAAATTTGTGTTGGGTTGAAAACATTTCTCATAATCACATCATAATTTTATTATATTCTATGAATTTGGCCATGTGAAGATTTTAACTCTCTCCTATAAAAATTTGTTACACGGTAGTAGTCTATTATTAGCCCATGCCAGAGGACTTTAGGTTTGGTTGGCCTCTGAAGGTTGACCACAAAGTACGTAAGAGCATTCATAATATGACACCTGTCCTTTATTTTCAGCGCAAATCTACTAGGGTTAGAGTTAGGGCAACCACAAACTGAGTCACCCCATGGAGCCCACAACAAGTGAGAGTTCTACGCAAAGCAAATTTCTTCTGAAAGAGCACAAGTTCTGGTATGGAGTTAACTAACTAATCTTTAGTTTACTAGCAAAACAAAAATTGCTAAAGTTTGATGTCTATCTGGGGGAAGGAAAGCCTCAAGAATAAAATAAAGGGAAAGTTTTGTTGATTTATAAAACATTAATTAATTAATTAAGAAGAGAAGCATTCAGTTCTTTCTGATCAATAGTGTACGTCTTATTCTTCTTTTAATTGTTTTGTTATACTTTTCGAAAATTACAAATATTAATGGATATGTGATTACTTGCTATTGGGACGAAACGAATAAAATTTTCAAAATCGAGTTTATAGTTCATGCATAGGAGAAACGGTTAAGAGAGTGTTTAGAGAAAATTTTTGAAGATGATGAAACAAAGGAGGTTATGGAGACTAAATATATCGAAAATTGTGTTGGGTAGAGCATTTCCTATAATCGCATCATATATATATTACAGAGAACAAGAATGCTACTTATATATAACTGGACTTTTGATGCTTTGCATATTTGTACCAATATCATTGTTTGTGGATTATGATGCAATGACATGAAACTTTAGGTTGAAGCACAATCTTATTCCTTGTGAACAGGTAATCTTTGCTTATTTTTTTATTGGTTCATGTGTCACCTACTAAATATCATGGTTTTTCTTGTAGCACGACAAGGGTTTTTCTTATCCAAACAATGGCAAAAGACAAAAGTGAGGAAGAGAAGTTCCCTTGAAATTTATGTAGCTTTTTACCACTTGTAATTGCACCAGCCTAGGCTGCATTTTGATCAATTTGAGCTCAATTCCTTTGGTTTCAGCTGCTGTGTCTCTCTGAATAAGACAATGGGATTCATGAATGTGACATTTAATTTCTATGTATTTATCTATATCAGGCGTGCATGATGCTTTTAATTTGTCCATTGCGTAAAAAGGCATTTGGCTCTTGACTATTTAATTTCTATGTATATTTGAATTCCTTTGTACTAAGATCTTTTTACATTTCAAATTCTGTCCCATCTCAACTAGTGAAAACAACAATTTTCTTTACTAACAGGCAAACTAGCTAGATTAGGAATTAAAGATTCTATTAAAGTATTGTCTAAATAGGTTGAAGAAACGAGCTAGTCATAGCCTGAGAGTCGTTATATAATTAGTTAATATATATTATAAAATCACATAATTACACTTTCTGTATGTATGATCAGTGCACGTATCACCAGTATGTGCAACTTATATTAACGTCTTCTAATACATACATGACAAAAAAAAAGTAGTTGGACTGTAAATCAATACGCAGTGATTATAGTTTCATAAACATTAACGTGCACGCACGGGGGAGCCATACCCAACAAGTCCCTCGAATGTTGCTATTAGGTCCCTCAATTCTTAACTTATTTTGAAACTAGTCACTCTAATATTCAAAAGTAATCGGAAGAATTACTATTGAGAATGAAAACCCTAATCTTATTCATGAGATAAGATGGGCTTATATAGGCCCCTACAACTTACACATAAGCCCCTAAACATATTACTATTTCAACACTCCTCCTCAAGATGGGCGAAAGATATCCACTAAGCCCATCTTGTCACATCCTCTAATCATATCTACTGAGCTAAGCCCCTTAGTCAGACAATCTGCTGCCTGATCCTTAGTTGGAACATGACTTAACTCCAGTAGTCCATTGTCCAACTTCTCTTTGATGAAGAACCTATCGATCTCGATGTGTTTGGTTCTATCATGCTGCACTGGGTTGTTGGCGATACTGATGGCTGACTTGTTATCACACCACAGCTTCATCTTGGCTCCTTAATCCAGCTTCAGCTCCACCAACATACTCTTTAACCACAACAACTCTGTAACTCCTAAGGCCATGGCTCTATACTCTGCTTCAGCTGTTGATCTCGCTACCACCGATTGCTTCTTGCTCTTCCACGAGACCAAGTTACCTCCTACAAAGATACAATATCCTGAGGTGGATCTCCTGTCATCAGCACAGCTAGCCCAATCAGAGTCGCAATAACCCTCGATGTTCACATGTCCATTCTTCCTGAATATCAGTCCCTTCCCGGGGGCACTCTTTAAATATCTCAGAATCTGGTACACAGCGTCCATATGACCCTTCCTCGGATCGTGCATGTAGCGACTCACCACGCTCACTGCAAAAAAGATATCGGGACGTGTGTGATACAGATAGATCAACCTGCCTACCAGCGGTACACAGCGTCCATATGACCCTTCCTCGGATCGTGCATGTAGCGACTCACCACGCTCACTGCAAAAGAGATATCAGGACGCGTGTGACTCAAATAGATCAATCTTCCCCCCAGCCTCTGGTATCTGTCACGATCAACTGGTTCTCCGGCCTCAGCACCTAGTTTGAACTTCTGGTCGATCGGTGTAGTTGCAGGTTTGCAACCTAACATTCCTGTCTCCTTAAGAAGATCCAGTGCATACTTTCTCTGGGATAGGACGATTCCCTCCGCTCCTCGAGCTATCTCTATTCCAAGAAAGTATCGAAGCAAGCCAAGATCTTTCACCTCGAATTCCTTACCCAGTCTTACTTTGAGTTGGGCAATCTCCTTCTCATCATTCCCAGTAATAATCATATCATCCACATATACTGCAAGCATGGTGATGTGACCTTCACTCCGTCGAAAGAACACCCACTGTCTGATCTGTACCAAATCCTGGTGGTATCTCCATGTATACCTCCTCCACTAGATCTCCATGAAGAAATGCATTCTTCACATCTAGTTGGTGTAACTTCCATCCACCATTTATTGCCAGAGAGATTAAGGTCCGAACAGTGCTCATCTTCGCCACCGGTGCAAAAGTCTCATCATAATCGATGCCATATGTCTGACTATACCCTTTTGCCACCAGACGAGCCTTGTAGCGCTCAACTTGTCCATCTGGATTCTGCTTCACAGTGAAGACCCACTTGCACCCAACTGCTCTCTTCCCTTCTGGTAATTTTACTAGCTCCCAAGTGCGGTTTTTCTCAAGAGCTCCTAGCTCCTCATGCATAGCTGCTTTCCACTTTGGATCCTTCTTAGCAACCTGCCAATTGTTAGGTACAGTAACAGAATCCAATGATGCAATGAATGGGTGGATATTAGAATATGATATAAATTGGGCAAGATCCCAACCATATCTATCGGGAGGATGTCCCGCATTGCTGCGAGTAGTCCTCCGTACTGATACTGGTGTGGGAGGAGTAAGGGGAGGATTGATATCACCTTGGAAGGAATCTGATGGTGGTGTAGGTGTCTCAGGAGTCGGGACAGGCGTTGATAAGGGACTTGGCACTAGTGGCACTGTAGGTACTGTTTCCGCAAGTTGCTTCCCCTTCCTACTATAGGTAAGTAGCTCCCCCTGAGCCGTGGGCCTAACACCTCTTGTCTCCTTATCTTCTTCTTCTTTATTCTCCTGCTCCTCCTCAACCAATTCTCCTTCCCAAGGAATCGTTAGAGAAATCGATTTCTCTATATTATTCTCTACATTATTCATCTGCCTCTCACCATTCTCCCCTTCTCGCCTCATACTTCCAGTATTGGGCGAGTCACCAACGGATGAGGGTACCTTCTGTGTGTAATATGGCTCAAATTCACGAAAGTACACATCCATGCTTACGAACAGCCTTTTCTCCACCGGGCTCCAGCAAACATATCCCTTTTGAGTAGCAGAATATCCCACAAAAATACACTTCACCGCTCTAGGGGCAAGCTTCCCGACGGATGGTCTGTTATCCTTCACAAAACACACACAGCCAAATACCTTCAGTGGAAGAATCCCACCATTATCTCCTTTCAATGTCTCACACGGAGACTTCCAATCCAGTACTCTCGAGGGCATTCTGTTGATCAGCGCCGCTGCAGTCAACACTGCTTGCCCCCACAATGTTTCTGGGACATTCATGGAGATCATCATACTTCTAGCAACCTCTAAGAGATGTCTGTTCTTCCTTTCTGCTACCCCATTCTGAGCTGGTGTGTATGGACACGTAGTCTGGTGTTGTATTCCATGAGATGACAAGTATTCTCCAAACACTTTGTTGGTGTACTCTGTCCCATTATCAGATCTCAATACCTTCACCACTGCTCCATATTGGGTCTGAACATTCCTATGAAAGTTTTGAAAGCAGCCAAACACTTCACTCTTATTCTTCATCAGGTATAACCAAGTAACGCGAGAGAAGCAATCAATGAATGTAACAAAATACTTGTATCCGTTCATAGAACTTGTGGAACAAGGCCCCCAAACATCTGAATGTATCAGATCAAATGCATGAGAACTCCTATGATCAGAACTAACATAAGAGCTTCTAGTAAGCTTTCCCAACTTACATGCATCACACACAAGTTTCTCTTTATTTGCTTTCTCAAATAAAGATGGATACAATCTACTTAAAGTACCAAAGGATGAGTGTCCCAAGCGCTGGTGATGAAGCATCAATTCACTCTCGGCACTCATTTCAGATCCTACTCCTGCTTTCTCTACCATTGACACCAAAGCTGAGTCCAGTCCCTCACGATCCAAGTACCACAGTCCATTACTCCACGTGCCAGTCCCAAGTCTCCGTCCTGTCCCTTTCTCCTGGAAGATCACCTTGGGAATATCAAAAGAAACGATACATTTTAGTTGGAGGATAATAGCACTAATGGACAAAAGATTTACTGGAAAGGAAGGAGCATGCAAAACATTGGACAGAGTTACAGAACCTGTACAATTAACAGTACCCTTACCAACCACAGGCTGAAATGTACCATCAGCTGTTTGGATGCTATCTGCTGATGAGAACTCACTAGCATTACCTGTCACATGGCGAGATGCACCGGAGTCGACTATCCACTCTGATGATCTGTCGGGAGACATAGAAGCAAGAGCATGTATGTCATCCGTACATTTGATCGGATGAGCATAAGTAGCAGAGTTGCCTTTGGATGTCTCCTCAGTTCCACTTCTTCTGTCTCCATCTCCTGCCACTCTCTGCTTCCTTCGAAGAATCTCCAGGAGCATATGGTCCTCCTCAGTAAAGACCATCTCAGTTGCTTCACCTTCCTCTGCTACCATCATATTCGCCCGATTCCCTGCTCCTCTTTCACCTCGTCGACCCCCACGGCCACGACCACGACCTCCGAACTGTACACGTCCACCCGAATCTCCTTCCTTGGGTGGCTTGGTGCAAGCATGCCTTAGATGACCCACCGTGCCGCAGTTGTAGCACTGTCGAGTCTCTCCCCTAGATCCAGTGTTGCTAGAGGCTGCCATTGCTGACTTCACCACAGGAAGTCCACCTGTCCCTGCCTGCAGCCGAATGCGAGTCTCCTCCTGGATCATAGCAGAGACAGCCTCCTCAAGTGTGGGAATCTTCGGCTGAGCTAGTAGCAATGCGATTCGCTGAGCGAACTCTGATGTCAATCCCTTGAGAAACACCATAGTCCTCTCCTGTAGAAAGGCCTCCCGTTCTTTACACCCCGGGTCCTTGCAGCTAGCCCGAGGGGAAAAATGATCATAATCCAGCCACAGACGCTCCAATTCTGTAGCATATTCCTGTACAGTCCTCTCTCCCTGGACTGTGGCGTCGACCTCCCCTTTAATCTGGAATACCCTCAGGTTATTCCCGACTCCGTCATATGTCCTCCTCAACTTCTCCCAGACGTCCTTCACCTTCTCAATGCCATCCACTGTGGCTGCGATCGTCGGGACCAATGAATTGAGAAGCCATATGTACACCAACATATGAGTGGACTTCCACTCACGACTCCGTCATATGTCCTCCTCAACTTCTCCCAGACGTCCTTCACCTTCTCAATGCCATCCACTGTGGCTGCGATCGTCGGGACCAATGAATTGAGAAGCCATATGTACACCAACATATGAGTGGACTTCCACTCATCTCTTCTCTCCGAGTCCTCCGGCTCTGTCACCTCTCCTGTCAGATAACCCTCCAGATTCCTCCCTGCAAGGATGTATCTCACCCGTCGCGACCAGCTCAGGTACGTATTCGGTCCATCAAGCTTCAGATCGATGGTCGGAAGCTCCAACTTCTTCGATGGTTTTGTCGCACTCTCACCAGCCGACAACTTCATTAGCTTCATCAAAGTTGATACCTCCGCGGGGTTCAACTTCTTGATGATCTCCTCCATCGAATAGGCTTCAGACCCACTACCTGTTCACCTTCTCTTCCGACTCTTGTTGTGTGCAGTAAAAATTTCGGCAGCACCTCTGCCACACAACAAGAGTAGGATCTCAAACAAATTCTCGTTTCTCAGAGGAAACAAGAACCAAAACCAGTTATATATCTCATCGATGTGAGATATAAACTCTTCCTGTCATCAGTTCGAGGACTGAGTCAAGGGAACCCATGCCAAACTCTAGGTCCGACATAGCGCAGCAGGGGGGGCTTGAGGTGGCAGCGGCTAGGAAAGGGTTTGGAGGTGGCAGCAGGGGGGTCTGGTCGGGTCTGGGGGGTTCTGGTCGTAGGGTTTAGGGTTGAGGAGGGGGTTCTGGTCGTGGGGTTCTGGTCGGGGTGGTCTGGGGTTCTGGTCGTGGGGTTTGCGGACAGGAGGGGGTGGGGGTCAGGTGGGTCTGGAGCCGTGGGGAGTTCTGGTCGTGGGTTTGGGGCTGCTCTGCAGGAGGCGGAAGGGAGGGGGGTCTGATCGGACAGAGATCAAGGGGGGGTTGGAAGCTGATCGGGGAAGAAGAGGGGGGGGACGGCGGCTAGGGTTAGGTTTTTTGTGGAGGCTCTGATACCATATTGAGAATGAAAACCCTAATCTTATTCATGAGATAAGATGGGCTTATATAGGCCCCTACAACTTACACATAAGCCCCTAAACATATTACTATTTCAACAATTACCAAGTAATTAAATTCTCTTGTTGTGGACTGTTAGCTACTTCGATTCTCATACTCAATAGCTATTTATATTCTTCAGTACGTGGAGGGGCTATTAATGTGCCTTGCTCCCTTATAAGTATAAAGTCTATTATGGAACATACTCCATTTCAAATTTTTACCTTTCATAAAAAGCAAACAGGCTCACTGACATCGAGCTCAAACATCTCGATCTGTCACAATTCTTTCTCATATGTACATAGGAAATCATCGATTGATCCCACTATTTTGATATTTTCCAGATTTGAGCGAATAAATTAATTATTGTTATCCATTTGAATCATCAGCATTATCATCATCATCATGTCTTAATCATCAATTGTTATGTATAGGTACAACTACTACATTTTTCTCCCCCCGTGTATATATGTACACTACATGAAGGTTACAATCAAGAAATATCTACATACATGTCACTTGTAGTCAATTTATCCTTCAAGCTTCAAGAAACTTAATTAATTAATTAACAACTTGATTAAGAAGTCATAATCTTTAATCCGTGGCTCAAGCCATCATCGCTCGATTCAGTAGATCTTGTTATCATCATCAACTCTGTCACTGTGATCTTCATATTGCATCACTGAGAACGAACTTGGCCTCTTCTTCGTCCAATGACGATCAGTTTTTTTCCATTCATTGGTTAAGCTCCCCTCAACCAACATCTTAATAATAGTATTCTACTCTAAAACGCTTGTTTAATAGTAAGTAACCAACCAACATGATAATAATTTATGTTCATTGTGTCTTGGCCAGTTAGCATAACGCACATTAATTTGTATTAGCTTTGATCATCATAGTTTTATTGTAAATGATCAAATCCATTCAACACGTCTCTGGTTTTAATAGTTGTATATCTAGGAATTTGAATATTCTGAAACCAATTACATATTGCTTTAAAGATTAAGTTTTCTGATCTATTTAATTTACATAGTTTATGTGCATGTGTGTGTTGAAGAAGATAGCTCTGAAATCTATGTTAATGTAGTATATATCTTCTCCTCTACTAAAGTACTAATCGGACCTACCAATTAATGTCTAATGGTAAGCATCAAGTAAAGACAGGTATTAATTAAGATTTCAAGTGATCACATAAAATTTTATTTATTTTGACTATGTTTAGATGTCGTTTGGGAAATTTTCTATCTTATTTTGACCACTTAACCTACCGATGATTGTGCAGGTGTATTGAGTCTTCAAGTGATCAAAATGAACACTAATCCCTTGACATGGCAGAGGAAAATAATTGTGCACATCAATTCTTAATTTTATACCCATGCATCTATTGCATATCTTAAACGGATGTGTGTGTGTAGACACACATATATATAAGTAAAGCTCATGTAAACTTAAATGGATAGAGACGCTTGTCCACCAACTTCTTTATCTACTAAATTTGCTTTGAGATTTATGCTAGCATGTGATCCAAATCAATGCACGTATCTCAAAGGTACCCTGGGATAAAAAAGTTGGATGGCAAATTTTTCAATCCACCTTAGTTTTATATATGTATATATACAGACATACACCACACACAAGTTGTTCTAGTACTCTTGCCCTGGGATCATTAATTCATGAAGATCGTTCAATTGTTTGGCCAATACAGGCATTAATATAACTTGTTATGTGAAACTATTTTATTATTCCCCCACTCTCTGACCTCACTTGTTACATCCCCAAAACATATAATTTAATTATATATCCAATTGAAGATGGATAGGTGTGGTCATACTTAGTTAAACTAGACAGTTAAGCATTTGAAAAATGCTTACTTCTCAAACTTTGCTACCTCGGAGGGGGACTTTAGATTTCATTGCTGCTGAGAAAAGTATATTATCTTAGTATTAACTACTTATATTCAGCAAAGTACGTACTTGTTTGTAGAAATAAGTTGGGGATTAAGGGCAGAGAAGAAAACAATACTACCATATTATGACTACAGAGTGCCATCAAGTACACGTTAAAAAGTTATGATAGAGCAGAGCACCTAACAAGTGCCATGCACGTGATCCAAAATGAATGCCTTTGACAATTCTATCAGAATCTTGATGACAAACTTATTCAACAACATAACTCTTAATTAATTATGATAATATTTGACCTCAATCTTTTGCTTTTTCCACAAAAACTCAATTGAAAATCAAATGGGTCACATGGTACATACAGTCAACAAATTATTCCACTTCGGCTCAAACCCAATTTAGCTAATGGAGATAGAATGCAAGACATTAATTCACCTCATACATGAAAAGGAAGTCATATATATAAATGTAATTTGATAATTAAGCTCGAAGAATATTGCTAATGCAAACAATTTGTACTTTGCAAGACATCACTTAATTTATACATAAAAAGGAAGTCATAAAAACTTGTACTGCATGTGCTTATTGCTCACTGGTTAATTAGTGAAAATTTTCATTTACCAAAAAAAAATGCTAATGCAAACTTCACAATAGTAGCCAGCATACATATTCCAGCTGCTCGTAAAATAGGGAAGAGTACTAATTAACCTTGAGGTTTTGTGCAGGGAGAGGGGTTTAATTTAATGACTTTGAGACAAAGGAATAGCTTCTACCTAACGATCACCAATAACAAATATAATTCAAAAATAAGTGTAACCAAAATCTAACCACCTTCTTGTATCTTCCTCATTACCTGTCACGTATCTGACGTGATAGTTGAAAATTAAAGCCCTCCATGCAAATAAAAAACCTTAATATATTCATTAAATATTTAAACAATTTCCATTTAAAAATACAAAGTGCAATCACGAATTTGTGGACATTGGGCCTTCAGAAGTCAAAAAAGCGCAGTTGATAGCTGGCTTCTTCATAGGTCAACTCCCATGATCAGCCAATTAATAATTGAAACAATAAATTAACAAAGATTTTTCATCTCATCATGAGCAAAGTAGCCATCAAGATTACAAAGAGAAACTCAAATAATAAAACAACGAAAGAAAAATGGTATTATCATCTCAATAAGTATCAATTTACATATGAACCTTAATTTGAGTTTGATTTTGTACATTGCAAATATTTTCCTGTAGCTTCTACTCACATGCACACTGTAACAACAAATTCATGAATCTAGACAAATCTGTAAATCAACAAACAGCCCCCCCTTCAATTCTTCAGTATGTCCATTTCCTGCTCTAATGGATTGGACCAAGAAAGCTGGCTGCAACAGCAAACAACTCTAATCAATATCTCTTACATTATTAAAGAACATAAAAAGATATACGTTGAGTAAAACTGAATTACTTTACTTACTCTAAAATGTCTTTCCAGCCAAGATCGCTGTCCAGATCATCCAAGGTTAGTCCACTCCACTGCTCAAATGGTTTTGAGATGGGTGAGCTGCTTGAGACATCACCGCAGTTAACCAGCTCCGGCGCCTGATCAACTGTGTAATTCTCTGGTGAAGCAGAAACCAAGGAAGGCGCAGAGTTTGCGGTTGGAGTGCTCATAAAGGAAGTAGTAGCAGTATTAGAAGTAGTAGTAGGACCGAAGTCACTAGAATTGCAAGAATCATATCTCAGCGGTGCAACAAACTCATGTCTATTGATAGTGTTAACATCTGATCCCAACAGTGCTTGAAGATTGACATTAGGCATTTGTTGCATGCCCAAATTTGAGACTCCCGAAGACGTTTGATTCAGATTACGCGGTAGACCCGTACTGCCCAAGTTTGGAGGAGGGGGATTGGTTACAGCTTGAATAAGGGTTTGGAGGAGTTGCAGTTTTGGGAGTTGAAGAGCGTTCATCAACGGGTTTGCTGTGTAATTGGTTTGGAGGTTTGCTGCAGCTGCGATGAGATTCGGGAGGTTTGCAAGAAGGTTGAGATCTGTTCTAGGTCTGTGAGTCACTGGATCGATCCCCATCATGAGGAGCTTCTTCCTGATGTGCGTGTTCCAGTAGTTCTTGATCTCATTATCGGTTCTTCCTGGTAATTGGTTAGCAATCGCTGACCACCTGAAATGAGGGAGAAAAAGAGAGGGGGTGGTTAATTAATTAATCACCGTTCAAGCATACTTTCAATCATCTATAAAATAAAGAAGATATAATATATTTACAATCTTTTTACTTTATTTGGTAAAAATTTGCACATGAAACCTATTTTTCATGACTTACTACAAGCAATTAATCGTCAAGAAAGCTTTTGCATATATATATAAGAAAGTTAAACAGATAAATATAAAATTTTAAGTTAATTAATGCAAATTAAGAAAATCTAAAGACGTCTATATATCTTATGAGAAGAACATTTTTCCATCAACTAAATTGAATTAATAAAGAGGCTAAATATTTACTTGTTTCCGAGAAGCGAATGAAGGTGGATGATGAGCCTCTCCTCCTCCTCAGAGAACCTCCCTCTCCTGATGTCAGGCCGAAGATAATTAGTCCACCGAAGCCTGCAGCTCTTTCCGCATCGATTAAGCCCAGCTCTCTTCGGCAGATGCCTCCAACTCCCCGCCCCACTCTCCTCTATATAATCCATCAATTTCTTGTCTTCCTCGGTCGTCCATGGCCCTTTCTTCACATTAGCATCGGCTTCGCAACACGGAGTTCTCCCCATCCTTAATTAATTTACCGATCAACAACCACTAACCCTAGCTAGAACTCGAACTCTCAAGCGATCGAAAGTTTAGAAGATCGAGGAAATTGTTTGTGGGTTTGATTTGGCATGGAAAGGTAGTTATCTGGGGGGGTTTTATAGAGAGTTGGAGAGTATAGGAGACGTGTCTATGGTGAGCACACAATGTCATATTTTATGAAAGAAGGCGTACGTAACATGTAATAAATTTTCCCATGCATGCAATATAAATACATTTTGTTGATGTGCTGCGCGCTGTTAGGGGTTGTAGTGTATTATAACGAGCATCTACCAGGCCTCGGTTGGCACGTGTGATTGTAGCAGAGGGGAGTAGGTCACCCCGACACGTGTATGGACCGTAAAATTGTTGATGGGAGCTTAAAGGGGGGGACACCTGTGTCTTCTGCGAGCATATATTTTAGGGTTGGGTTAGGGCAGCAGACATCTCAGTGGGGCCCACAGGAGATCAGACCCCTTGCAGTTCTAAGCTGGGCAAAAATTGCGCTGTCCACATTAAGACTGACTAGATGTTTATTTAATAATATGCATGTTAGGGCTTTAAGGGAGGTTACGTGGCTTGCTAAAATTGGATTAGTTGATTTTTAAAAAAAATAAAAAATAAAAAGGAGGACTCGTGCATAGTCTATCTTATATAGTTAGAATAGCACTGCTCTAGCTTACAGGTATTTTCTTGTTATTATATGCTCCATTGATCATGTTACCTAATAAAGATTTGGGTTTTGGGGGCCATATATTACATTGTTTAATTACCTTGCAGGTAGCTCTTCAAGTTACTAGAGTGGCAGCGCTCTAACTAATTTGCAACTATTTCATAAAAAATCAGTCATCGGCAAAAAAAAATAGAAAAAGTCATCTGGGATGTTCCCAGGATAAGAACATAAGCCATTAAGGAATGGATAAATCCTTTATTACTTTTATTGATATTTATTTAGTAACATGTCATGCAAGTTCTTACCGGGGATTATGTGGCTTGCTACATTTGGACTGCTTTTGTTTTAAAGAAGACGGTTTCATGCATTTAATATTTACAAGTGGCTGAGTGAGGACAACATATATA